AATCCCGTGGCCGGTTTGAGGTGAGTAATAGATGTAGATGATGATCTGAGGGTTTGAAACCCCGGTATATCACACTGTGACGCTATATTGAGGCGAGACACGTACTCTACAGCGAGTGCGGGGTCGATTGTGATCGAGGACTGTGGCCTAGTCCGACCGAGCGATGTTGTACTATATCATGGGCTAGAAATTAGCCGGTAAACCTCCTACTTGGATGGTTATGGACATAATTGGGGCTGTATGCCGACTATTTGAATCCCGTAGGGATTGTTATCATTGTTCCCATAACCTATAGCATGTTTCATGATATTAGTCCTGAATTGAATATTGTATCAAAATGGCTAATAAATTCTAAGGTTTTAAACACCTAATTATAATTCAGATAATTGAAACTAAAAATGGTAAGTATGATTGTGCATTCATGACTATGCATGGATCGGGCTGCACGCCGCAGCGGGTGTGATATTGATATTGTGCTTGGGCTGTAGGAGCCCCTCCGGAGTCTGAACCCCCCACAGTGAGCGCCAGATACCCATGGATCGGGCTACGCGCCGTAGCGGTCATGTGCATTGCATTCATGCATTGATATATATATATCTGTTGTATCTGTCTCTACTTGTTATTACACTGTGAAGTGTGTAGGAGTACTGGTTTTAGCTTCACATTGTTGTATATTGGGAATTCCTACTTTCAAGTCATTATACATGTCTATTACCACTGAGTTGGAAGTACTCATTTTACTCCCTGCACCATGTGTGCAGATCCAGGTACTTCGGGAGCTAGCTGAGCTTTCTGCTGACTTCAGAGTTTCATTCGGAGTTGTCGAGGTAGCTGCCTGACGTCCGTAGAACCCGACTTCTCCCCTATCCTTTGTTATTTGTCTTTCCGCATATTTCAGACTATGTAATATTACAGTTTTATTATACTATACTATTAGAGGCTCTAGACTCATGACCCTTAGGTCTTTGGGAGGTTTCTCAGTATTATTGGGATATTTGGCTTGTATATTTTATCAGCTAAAACTTATAAATTCACTACTGTTAAAGATATTTAAATTAAATTGGTTTTGAGCTTCATGCTCGGATTGAGAATGTAAATGGTCGGGCTTGCCTAGCAATTGGTTGGGCGCCATCATGACCGGGTTTGGGGTCGTGACAAGTTGGTATCAGAGCCTAGGTTACTAGGCCTTATGAGTCATGAGCCGGTTAGTAGAGTCTCGCGGATCGGTACGGAGACGTCTGTATTTATCCTCGAGAGGCAGCAGAACTTTTAGGAAGTACTTCATATTCTTGAACTCTTATCGTGCGGCTTTGTTGTTTCAAGAACTAAATTGTTGTATTCTGTTCTCTCGCAGATGGCGAGAACTCGTGCTACCGGACGTGGTGGACGACCACCTTTGCCACCTGTTAGAGGCCGTGGACGCGGCCGTGGTCGTGGTAGAGGTAGGGCAGCAAGGGCAGTACCAGTTGACCCACCAGTTGCCCCTATTCAGGACCAGCCTCCAGCTGTTGATGCTCCAGCAGCACCTGTTCAGGCACCGGCAGTGCCTAATGTGATTCCTGGTCTTCAGGAGGCTTTAGCTCAGATCTTATCTGTCTGCACTGGTCTGGCTCAAGTAGTTTCAGCCTCTACTGCCGCAGCTACTTCTCAGATCGGGGGTGATCATTAGACTCCCGCAGCTCGCACACCCGAGCCAGTCGTACAGGGATTACAGACACCGGAGGCAGCCCCAGCTCAGCCAGTTGCACCGGTTGCCCCAGTTGCGCCAGTCGCACCAGCTCCAGGGTATATTGTTTCGGTGATGCCAGACGACGAGCAGCGTCGACTTGAGAGGTTTGATAGACTCCAGCCTCCGAAATTCAGCGGTACTGAGGGCGAAGATGCCCAGGAATTTTTGGACAAGTGTCAGCGGATGCTTCGCACTGCAGGGATATTAGAGTCTAGTGGGGTGTCTTTTATCACCTTTCAGTTCTCAGGGCCAGCATTTACATGGTGGGAGGAGTTTGAGAGGCGTAGGTCTGCAAGAGCAGTACCCCTTACTTGGCAGCAGTTCTCCACTCTCTTTTTGGAGAAATATGTGTTGCAGTCTCGCAGAGAGGAGCTGCGCCGACAGTTTGAGTGGTTGATCCAGGGAGATATGACAGTGACCCAGTACGAGTTGAAGTATACGCAGTTGGCTAGACATGCTACATGGATGATCCCGACAGATCGAGAGAGGATCAGGAGGTTTGTGGATGGCCTCAACCATCCGATTCGTATTTTGATGGCTAGAGAGAGGATGGCAGCAACTTCTTTTGAGGAGGTAGTTGATATGGCTCGTCAGATTGAGACAGATCGTCGCCGGGAGCGTGATGAGAGAGAGGCTAAGAGGCCTCGAGGTTCAGGTAGCTACAGCGATGCTCCATTTAGGGGCCAGTTTCAGCAGAGCAGAGGTCGTTCTTTCAGGCCTCCTCAGACAGGTCGCCCAGAGTACAGTGGGGCTTCTTTCGGCCGTGGCCGTCAGGGATATCAGCAGGGCCAGCCTTCACTCAGTGCCCTTCCAGCTCAGAGTTCTACTCCTGCCTCTTCAGCCCAGGGTTCATCTGCAGCGAGGGGTTCTCGTCAGTTCTCTTCTCCAGCACCGGGCAGATGTTATGAGTGTGGTGAGTTTGGCCACCTGAGGAGACAGTGTCCCCGGTTTCATCATAGTCGGTCTCAGCAGAGGGATCAACCCTCCTCTTCTACTCCATCTATTTCAGCACCATCCCTGTCAGGTAGGGGTGGGGGTCAGTCAGCTAGGGGTCGCCCTAGGGGTGGAGAACAATCTAGTGGTGGTCAGGTACGGTTCTATGCACTTCCAGACAGGAGAGACGCTGTTGCATCCGACGCGGTTATCACAGGTATTATCTCAGTTTGCCACAGGGATGCTTCTGTTTTGTTTGATCCCGGGTCTACATACTCCTATGTGTCTTCATATTTTGCTCATCATTTGGGTACGACCCGTGGTTTTCTTGCCTTGCATGTGCATGTATCTACCCCGGTGGGTGATACTGTTATTGTGGATCACGTATATCGATCCTGTCTTGTTACTATTGGGGGTCTGGAGACCCGAGCTGATTTGCTGTTGTTGGGTATGGTAGACTTTGATGTGATTCTGGGTATGGATTGGCTATCTCCGTACCATGCTATTCTGGACTGTCATGCCAAGACAGTTACATTGGCCATTCCGGGTATTCCGAGGATTGAGTGGC